ATTAAAAAAAAAAGAAAAGAAAAAGAAAAGCAAGGGAACAAGAGGGTCGAGTGGGTTAAGAATTGCTATGGACAGTGTCTCCATTGTAATGTTCAGGAAGTATAAAACCTGAGTGTTTCTTAAATGGCTCTTTGGTTGCTGGACTCCTCTCCTGCTATCATGATACTGTCCTGAGATCCCTGGAAGAGGCTCTCAGCCTGTCTCAGCGTGGAGTCCCAGCTCCAGCTGAAGCTGCACCCAAGGCAGGATGGAGCTGGGAGGCGCAGGCCTGCGTCTGGGTGTGCATCGCAGGCCCCGGGTCAACTACCTGCAGACCCAGAACCACGGTTCCTCAGGCCACCAGTCCCCAGGAGAGACAGTAGCAGGGCCCCTCCCCAGGGCTCTGCGAGCCCCCCACCCCCACCCCCCAGCAGACATTTCCTGAAGGAGAAGGTAAGCACAGGGTAGAGGCAGCCAAGCCTGAAAGCCTCTAGCACTGGAACAGAGGAACCTCCAGCAAGGCCTTGAGCGCCAACGCCCAGACCTGAGGGCAGTGGGGCGAACACGACCCCGTCCCTCCCCGGGGCCTATTGGAGAAATGGAAAGGACCAGAATGGAAGCCAGAAACCCACGGCAGCGAGAGTCCAGGAGTGGAAGAGCACTGCCCTGCAGGCAGAGCGAGCTAGCCTGTGTCTTCGGACCTCCCCATGATGGGATGCAGGGGCGAGCTCCAGTGACATGGAGAGGGAAGGGCTGGGCCTTCTGTCTCGGAGGGGTCGTGGGGCTTAGGGCCTCCCAGACCGGCTGGGCAGTGGCCAGGGGCCTGTGCCCGGCGGGAACACATTGTCCGTCCTCCGCGTGGCCGGAACACTCGGCGGGCTGGCGCTGGTAAGGGGCGGCGGCTCCGGGCAGAGCCTCTCGCGCTCCCGCCCCTCGGCCGGACTTGGCGCCTCCCCTGCGGCGGCGGAGCCCGGAGGTGGGGTCGGGAGCGGCCCGGGCGCTGAGGTCACCGCGCGACTCGACCGAACTCAGGTGTGCAGCGGGCCGGGGGCGGTGGGTGCTCGGAGGGCGGGGGTGTGGCGGCGCGGTTCCATCAGGGGCGACTCGGTGTCCTGTCCGCTGCGGGATCCCGCTTCCTGAGCGCTCCGCCTGACTCCCGGGCTCCTCGAGGAGACGGGCGCGCCCCCGTGGTGTGGCTGCTGGGGCGCCCAGTCCTCCGGCCCCGGAGCAGCTGGGGGACCCGGGTTCCTCCCACCCGACCTGCGGGACCCGGCCAGCGCCCTGAGCCCGCCTCGGCGTGACTCTGTCGCCCCCTGCGGTCGTCGGGGCTGGGGCTGGGGCCTGAGCCCCCCAGAGCGTGCAGTCCCTGGTGTGAGCTGTGTGCGCAGCCCGGGCCGCCTCTCGTCGTGCCGCCAGCATCCTGCGCGCCCGCCGGCCCCGAGAGCGGGCTTAGAAGGGCTGGGAAGAGCTGGTGCCGAGCAGCCCAGGTGCACCTCGGAGGAGGTCCTGTCTTCCTTGGAGCCGCCTGGCTTCTTTCCTCCCTAGGTCATTTCCGAGGCTGAGTGTGAGGATCAGGGCGCGGGGCTGGGTTTGGTGGGTGCGGAGCTTCAGCTGGGTGCAGGGAGTCAGCTCGCGGCCCAGGAACGCGGCCCTGCCGGGAGCGCCCAGAACTGGAGGAGGACCATCGCGAGGGGGCCTCACAGAGGGGTCAGGTGGAGGTGGCATTTGAGAGAAGCAGTCTCACTCCTGGCCGTTATAGCGTTTGAGGCTGCCCTTCTGAACCGCTTTGGGTACTTCGCTTGGTTTTGCTCTATTTTCCCCCGTGTGCTTTTACCTGCCGGAAGTGTCTCCACTTCTGACTAAAATCCCTGGTCTGCGTGCTTGCCTGGGCTGCCCTCTGTGAGCTCCAGATCCAGATGCCAGCCACTGCCAGACTCCGTAGATTCAGAGAAGTGCTGGCCCCACGCTGATGCGGACAGACTGAATTCCTTGGCTAGTCTGTAAGGTGGCTTCCTCCTTCCAGACTGGTGGCTCCACCTGTGGAGACCCAGCTCTGAAGTAGCACTCACTTTGTTCTTCAGGTGACAGGAATACTAGGGAACGCCCCTTCGCAAGCCCTGGACAGGGTTTGCCAGCAGGGATTCCCATTCTGCTCCTCCTGTTCTGGGAGGCCTGAGCACCTCTGGACTTTGGTTCTGCAGCTGGCACTGCCTTTGCAGCCTGGCCCACAGGTGACATTCATACAGAGGCCAGACAAGTGTGGGAACTCCTTGCTGTTGTGCTGAGGCTCCAAATCACACACCAAAGCAGATGGTTCCACACAGGGAACAATGTGACATCCTTCATGGACATCAGCCACTAAGGCCACTGATGCAAAAGCATCCTCGGGACAAGTTATTGCTGATAAGAAAACAGTAAGGTGGGGCCGGGGAGATGGCTCAGTAGAAAAAGCGCTTGCCTGGCAAGCGCAAGGATCTGAGTTCAATCCCCAGTTCTGCAAAAAAAGAAAGAAAGAAAGAAAGAAAATAGTAAGGTGTACACATTACGATTGTCCATTCAGGCTGCTTTTGTTTGGTGAACTCAGAACAGTTGGTTCCCACAGTAACTTACAAATAACCCAGATGTTTGGGGCCTCTTGGGGGGGTGTCTCTGTATCTTATCATGCACCTGCCTGTTGAGAGGCCAGCATGGGCAGGCATAAGGTGGCATGATCTGGGCTTAGAAGGACTAGGGAAAGAGATAGCTGGCATCTCAGGTGGACATCTTGTAGGTGACTGTCCTCCTAGAAGCTGCCACTTAGCTGCTTTTTCCCCTGAAGTTCAGAAAATGGAAACACATTGCAGAAGACAACCCCAAGGTTGAGTGTGATGACCACCTTGCAGGGCTGGGCTCAGTGGGCAGGTGGGTAGGTGACAAGACATCCACTTCAGGTCTGAGGTCCTGGGAATGTTGCAGATACTGCCTCTCCTTTTAAGAAGCACTGCATCTTCCTACAAGTAACCGCCTCTCTGCCCTGATGGACAATCTGAAGCATTCTGGGCCTCCAGGAGGTGGAGGGAGGGTAACTCTCTATTCTAAGTAGCATCTGGGGACACAAATGAGCCAGCATTTTCATACATATCATGGCTTGGGGCTCCGTACTCTGTAGTCTCCACCAAGCAGCTGAGGAAAGGCAAGCCTCCCATAGTTTGTTGGGAACCCCAGCTGCCCAGGCCTCGGAGCTGCTCTAACCCTCACCCCAGCCTGCCTGCCTGGCTCATCCTCTTGTCTCCTTCTGCACTGGGGAGATATCGGTTTGCAGCCAGTGCTGCTAGGCCTGCCGGCCTGTTTGTCCCTAATAATGCATGAGCAACCTGGTCAGTGTCCTTGGCGGCAAGTTCCTCTCCTGTTCTGCCTCCTTCCCCAGAAGACCAGTAGGGAGGACAGACAGGAACACTGTTCTCTGCCAAGGCTACCCCAAACCTACTCCCTGCAAGTCTGTTCCTTCCCTTGCCGTCTGACAAATATTTAACATCGGTTGACTGTATGCCAGGTGCTGCGCCGGGCACTGCATGACAAATAAGGGCAGAGGCTGTCCTCAGGAAGCTCAGGGTAGGAATGGGGAGAGGGAATAATAGGCCAGCAGACAGTGCATTGCATGTGGTGGCGGCAGAAGTCCTGGGATCCCAAAGGTCAGGAGACAGCCCAGCTGTGTCCTGCAGGAGGGCACCCAGGGGCCGAGGTCACTGGGTTATTCCCAGACACAAGGCAGAATTTCAGAAGTAAGGAGTGCATTATTTGGTACTCTACTGGCAGTTTGTGGGGAGGTAGGAGTTTGGGCATTGCCTGAGCCCAGGGGGTAGAGGAAGGGCACAGTGAACTGGCTTTCTGTAGGGTTTGCCCCTAGGAAATGAACTCCAGCTGTGGGGAACTGGGTGGCATGCCCAGGGCCCAGCTGGGGCTGTTACTTACCATGTGTGTATCTGGGACACATCATTTCCTCCTCATTCTCAGGGTTTTCATTTTTAGAGTGCAGGTAACTGTGGGAATGGCAATGAATACTTTTTTTTTTTTGTCTTTTTTAAAACTTTATTTATTTATTTATTTGTTACAGGGTCTTTCTAGCACTTCAGACTGATAGTGAACCTTTTGTCTCAGCCACTTTAGCACTGGGATTACAGGCATGTGCCACCACACCTGGTTTGGGGGCCAAACTCAGGTCCTTGCACCTGCCAGGCAGGCGCTTAAACTGCCAAGCCATCTCCCAAGGCCCCCCTCCTTTTTTTTTTTTTTTTTTTTTTGAGACAGGGTCTTGCTATGCAGTTCAGGCTGGCCTTGTAGCCCAGGCTGGTCTCAATGAAGAATCTTCCTGAGTGCTGGGATTACAGGCGCGCACCACCACACCTGGCTGCTGTGAATATTTATATGAAGCCCCTGGAACATAACAGGGAGGGAGAGGCTGAGAAGCTGCCCCTGGCTCCTGACCTGGTCCCCAGGCCTTCTCAGCTCTTGGGAAGGACCCTAAGGAGGAGCTACAAGAGCAGCCAAGAAGCAGCTCGGGTGGATGGGGTCTGAGTGTAGGTGTGCTCTCGGCTGGATGGGGTCTGAGTGTAGGTGTGCTCTCGGCTGG